GATTGACCTCGTTTTGGTATATATATATATGCTATAGTAATAGATAAATAAATATTTTATATAACAATATTGATAATATGATAAAGTGCGCCTAAGTCGCCCTGACAACAAGACCAAGTTACGAAAGCGCAAACAACCCACTTCTATGATAAAATAAAATAAAATAAATATATATAGAAGTTGTTTGACCTTGTTTTCGCAACTTGGTCATTTTGGTAGGAAGACTTAGATGAACGCACCTTGTCCGGAGTTCATTGTATGCATAATCATTTCCAAAGTCGGACCGTGGACGTGGTACATTCTTAGACGCTTAGCTGGCATCTTAGTCGACATCGTCAGTGATTTTCGCCATCCGTAGCACCATATTACAACTCGTCAAAGAGATAAGTCTCTTGTCTCTGACGATGCCGACTACGATGCCAGCGAAACGTCTGGGAATGTACCATGTCCACAGTCCTACTCTGAAAATGATGACTCCGGACAAGGTGCGTTCCTCTAAGTTTTCCTAAGAATATGACCAAGTTGCGAAAACAAGGTAAAACAACTTCTATCCAACGAAAGGAGACTGCGACCACACAAAAGGCCACACCATCTTGGTCTTCATACCTTCGATTGAAAAAAAATATATAGCCTACTCAAAATGAATATAAGTAGCGTAGTTGATTGAATGCAAAACGTTATATAGCTCCACTTAAATTCACGCCTACCCCGTGACCCACGGGCACTCATGGCTATAAAACGTGATAGGAACATCTCAACATTATGTGCCCCATAAGCCGGATTCGATTCCAGTCGCGGGTGCTGATGAGATGATTGGTCTGTGCAGACGAGGGAAAATCTGGCGAAAATTTGTTTTCAAGTCTCGAGCTTCTCTGGCACTGCGTTTAGTCGAGGTGATAAGGCGAGGCAATTGTATTTTAGGATTAATTGACTTTTCGCTTCTGAGTAAATGTCGGTTGGAAGGGATTCGTGATTTGGTTCTACCGGAAAGGAAAGAAGGATAGTGCCTGTTAAGCGAGACTATTGAATTGAGCAAATCAGTCCTCGGTTCATCATAATGCGACTCTGATGGATTCAAGCTGAGCGTTAGTCTGTGTCGTCATGGCATGGAGCATTTAAGAAGAGACGTACAATACACTGGACCAAGCGATCAACATTTACTTTGAAATGAAAAGTTGAGTAGCATTAACTTGTTAGAAGGGGGCTCGAAATCAAACTTTGCTTCACATCAACTTTATGCTTTATCTGCTTCCATTCGTTTCTCTTCCCCCTCAAAAGAGGTCGTGTTGCCAGGGCGACCTCAACAAATGCCGAGCTATTTCTCGTTAAAGAGACACCGCGAGGAGATATCTATTTTTACACCTCTTCTTTTATATATCCATTGCTCGGCTTCTCTTTCGGCAGTCCCATTCGTACGTCCGTGATGTATGCTGTTGCATCGTTTGTCTTGTTTGCGGATGGACTTTGGACAATTGTCGATGTCGGCAAACGACATGGACAATTCTAATTCTGCAATAAGGACGAGGCGCCAGAATGTGGACCACGACAAAACTGGCAAACCAAACTGACCCTCATTTTGTGTCCGTCTCCTCCTCTGGCCTCGGCCGATCTGTCGCCTCGCGACGTCACGATCTCGTCTCGAGGCGCGGAGCCGAGTGCACCAGGCTTATCGGCCCGCTGGCCTGCCGTCTTCACGCATGGTTGCACCGGCGTCTGTGTCATCAGCACCGGCAGAGTTCGTCGCCGTGGCAACCAGACGCGACAGCAACGCACCGGCAGCAATGGCCGCGCTTCGTCCCTCTCGGCCAGCATGCCCGTTTCGGTGCGATGGCTACGCCAGGTATTCTCGTGCTCACCCTCTGCCTCGGCCGACTCGAGCAGTCGAGTGAGCACCTCTTCATCCGTCTCCATGTTGATAGCTAGATCCGGCTCTATGGATGATTCGGTTGCGGATGCGATGGCGACGGCAGCGGCGACGGCCGGTTGGTTTTCTGTATCGGGCAGTGGGGAGGAGGTGATTGTC